GATATTACTATTACATGTTTACATAAACACTGTGCTGCCATTATTATTTCTACGACTAAAATACTCTGGCTCCAGGGTTCATCGGGTCCTTGCACAACTGGACAACTCGGTGTCTCACACGACAAAAAAGGATTTTGTTTAAAAATTACAAGGTCGTAGCGCAACCGCTACGAGACTTACTACGGCGTAGCAAAGCTACAAAAGGAAACAAAATTTTGCGTAAAATCTCGCAAGGGACGAATAACCTAAAAAGTCAGTAATTAAATTGGTGACAGTAAGGTGAAAAACACATGTACCGTCCGTTTGTGCGTTATTTTTGCGCTACGTAACGCATGCACAGGACAATACGAATTTCGACTTTATTCCCATACAAACACGGTTTATGTCAAACGGTTTGACATACCTACGCATCCGTCGCCACAGCGTTGTGCGATGCGCAGCGCTAGCGGATATGTCTGTAATACCGTTTGAATTAAACCATATTTTAATGAAAATAAGGCGGAAAATTGCGTTTTACTAACGCATGCGAAAAAATAACACACAAATGAACGCTCCGTGTATCCCTCGCCTAAAATGAGCATGGATGCGGTTTGAAAAATTTAAACCTTTTACGGAAAATGAAAACGGTTAACGGTATGTCAAAAAGGACTGGGCCGTATTTAACGACATTGTACATTAGGCCCTTAATAAAGTTTTAGGGAAAATTATGATAACAGGTAGTACTCATTTTTTTACTTTTATACAAAATTACACTTCTATCCCTTACGGAGTAGGCAGATCGCCACCCATCTCAGGTTGAACGCATAAACGGTAGTGATCTGATATGTGCAAAGCTACGTACAGTCTTTATAGAATAATCCATAATGGCTGTTACTTCATCTTACCTTATCAAATTTTCAAATCCCTTTAATGTTGTTTTCAAGTTAAATCGCTTTGGAGCCTTAGGGCACGAGATACAGTATGTCTCAAGTGATTTATATTTCATGGTATTAACAAATAGAACTGTGTGTGTAGTTCCGGCTCAGAATAGCATCAACCTATTAACCGACTTAAATCTTCCCACGGGAATAGAAAAGCTTTAAGGGCGCTAAACACCGGGCGCGTATGCGTGACGTGCACGTCATCACGCGCGTAGATGTGACGTTGTATCGTATGGGATTGTATGAGAGATTACCACGGCGTAATCACGCGAGTAGCGCGGTGTGTAGCCTCTCATACAATCCCATACGATACAACGTCATCTCTACGCGCGTAGTGACGCCGTGACTACGTGCACGTCACGAATACGGGCCCGGTGTGTAGCGCCCTTTAATGATCTTATGTTTTTCCTGAGTCTAGCTGCATTGTATTAGTGAAACCAACCCTGTTTTTAAAGGATGGTATTTATTGATTATTTATAAGTACTTCTTCTTCTTCGAGTGGGACACCAAGTCGTCCAACGACCCGATGAACCCTGGTGTCAGAATTTTTAACCGCCTATTGCAAATAGCAGGGCTCTGACATGATTGTGTAATGACCGCTAATCATGAGTACCTTGTCCTCTTATTTGTGGTTTTGTAACACCCAGTCATCATCATCTCCCTGCCTTTATCCCAATTACTTGGGATCGGCGTAACACGTTTCGTTGAACACAAAATCGTGCGTGTTGCAAAGGATTTGGCCTAATTTTACGACCGGCCGCCTACCAGACGTCAAGCCTCCTTGGGAATGCTCTTGTGGTGAATTAACCGCCACCATACGGTTGGCCCTGGCTGTTTGGGACGGGTTTATCTCTCGGCCGCCTCTTTCGACCCCCACGAGAAGAGAGGGGGTGGTGGTGCTATTCTACTCTGCCGGCACCACACGGCTCCAGCAACACGGCTTTTGTAACACCCAGTATAAATGAATAATTAGGTAGAGCCAAACGGCGGTAGAACCGCGGCGTTCCAACCGCTCGTCTGCAAGCCCACAAGTTAATTAAGGAAGTCGTTACTAGTACAATAGTTATTGGGCTTCAAGACAATGCTAGAGTGTCGTTCGATGGCGAATTACATCAAAAATGGCGCATTAATCCAAGGAATGTTGGTCTATTGGTCTGACTCGTCTTCAAAGACTATTACCAGCTTGTAGACGAAGTATGTTTTCTAAATACACACATACATAAATCACGCCTTTATCCCTTGCGGGGTAGGCAGAGCGTCCGTAAAAATACGGTCGTTATCGCCACGTCTGGCAAATATTTGAGGGTTGTCTTAGCTAGCTTAGAGTCGTGCATTACTCTAGTGACAGGTTGTCAGCCTGTCGCCTAAAATTGTAATACACATGAAACCCTCGAGTCCCTTAGTCGCTTCTTACGACACATACAGGAAATAAATGGGGTGATGCTTTTCTAAGCAGGCATCAAATTAGAATAGAACTAGCGGGCCTCTCTCTCTCTTCGTGTGGGACACCGAGTCGTTCAACGACCCAATGCAACCTGGTGTCAGAGATTTACAACCGCCTACTACAAGCAGCAGGCCTCTGACATAGTTGTGTAACGCCATCATAGACAGCAACCGGGACCGACGGCTTAACGTGCCCATCCGAAGCGCGGAACCATCTTACTTGCGGACAATCAGGTGGTTCAGCCTGCAATGTCCTAACCAGACTGGGTACAAATTCACAAAGTGATAAATATCAACTTTGTGAGTGACCCCACCGGGAATTGAACCCGGAACCTTTGCGTGGCAGTTAGGCCACTGCGCCACATCGGTTGTCGGCCGATGATGGTTGTGTCATGACCACCGTCTAAATGATCTATTGAAAACAACAAAATATCTCATCCTCCTGGATAGACTGTCTATGACTCTCGTGACTCAATTTGATAACTATAACATGTATAGATACCTACTTGATTATTTGAGGTACAATAAGGTTAATGTTTTAAGCAATTAACCTTTATCTGGGTATAATTGGATAATTTAATGACTACAAATGAATTAATATAGAGCTGTTAAATATAGATTTAACTTTGAATAATTATCGGTTAAGTAAGTAATCTAGGTTAGTATGACACGTTCATGAGTCATATTATTATCATAAGCGGTTGTGTTCTATGACAGCTGTCAAATCAAGCATCACACCATGTTCAATTGGATCATTTGTCGACTCATTGTCCCACAACAAGCCCAGAGAGCCTTTATTAAGTGACAATCTTTTACGACGCAAGGCATCAAAAGCGGTTTGTGAAACAAAAAATCGGAAAAGTCTCATGTCACAGTCGCACACTATCATCATTGGCCTCATACGTCTGTGACAGACGATTTATTCAGTGTTTGAGGCAAGATTTTTCATGACTGTATAAGCCGATACGGGAGCGGCATGACTTTCCGCACGCTCTACAAATGAAGGTGGAATTGGAGATAGCACATGCATGTTTAGATGTCGTTTTTTCCTTTTGTTTGCGAGACTAGCGAACCAGGCATCATCGTGAGCTTTTATAGTACTTAGTTAATATGCTACTGGTAAGCAATTACACTCTATCGGAGTCCAGCAAAAGGTGCTTATACTACCTACTTGCTTCATCATTATCATCTTCCTGGCCTTATCCCAAATCAGTTCAGGTCGGCGCAGCATGTTTTGTTAGAACGCAAAATCATGTAGCAAAATGATTTGGCTTTGTTTCATGACCGGCCGCCTGCCTGACGTCAACCCTGCATCCGAAAAATCAGCAAATGTTTTATAGTGTATTTCACAGCCGATGGGTACTGTGACGTTTATAATTTGAAATAACTAGTGATGTAGTAGTGTTTGAATTGAACGAAAAAATGATCGATTTTTATCTACAAAAATGATGAAACTGGAGGACTGGAGCAAAGTGGTTGAAAAATACAAAGAAAATTGTGCTCCACTTTTGGCGGTGGGGGGATGGGGGTACATACATATCGATAATCTTAATGACTACCAATTAGTCATACATTTAAGCGCGAATGAAAGCGATGCATCTGATGAAGAATAACTATTTAAGTATTTAATATTAACACAATAAAATTTCTTCTTTTAGGGTTTTAGGGTAATACTACTCGATAAACCGTATACTGTACGCGATCGAGTTCTTGACCATCGGGGAATGAGGAGGCGCGCGCGGGGGCGGCGCGCCCCGCGTTTACCCACCTACCCGCATTCGATCGCAGTCGAGTGATGGGAAAAAAGTGCGTCACAAAGTTATCGATATTTTGTCGTCGTTTGTGTTGTGTTTTGTGTAGAAAACAAACTTATTATTATTATGCTTTTTCAGTTAACAACGCTTTGGATCGAGCGGTCCAATATACTGGGCTTTCTAAAAAGACATTTACTAGAATTGAAACAGAAGCAAAAATTGGTAATCTTCGTTTGCCTTCTAAAAAATCGGCCAAGATATAATATAATTGCCTAATATAATTGCCTCTGGTAGCCCAACGCTTAACCAATCATCATGATGCTTGCTACAGTGTTACAATAACTCAAAAATAATTGAATTCACCCGAAACAACCCATTAACTAATAACTATGAGTAGTCTGAACTGAATTGTTCGGCAACAGTTCTCGATATCGACATCAACATGAATTTAGTCACATTCTCACCACTACTATTCCTCAACATGGTCATGAACTCGTTCGCGTACTGTAGGTACCTAATCGTTTTTTTTCGTTCGATTATCACATTTTTACATCTCTAGTAAAGTTGCCGGCGCGGATCATTAAATGCGATTTCGGATATTTAAGTATGAGCGGATCCTAACGTGGCATCACACAAATGGTGAGTTAGCGCGTGCATTTACGCGCTCGCCACACCTGGCATGTTGTAAACAACAGATGGGTTTCCATGGGTAAAACAATAGAAAAAACAACGAAAATCGTTAAAAAAATATACAAATCAAGTGTAGGAAAGGAAAGTGGTTAAAAAATAAGTGTTCAATATAGTAAAATTTTAATCGACCCTTCTGGGTAATGAAATCCAATGTGTACTTAGGTAATTTTTCGTATTAACTCAGCAATAAAAATTCTGTAGCCGGACTTGAACCTAGGACCATGGAATAACATTCCACCGCTCTACCGACTGAGCTACCGGAGATCCCAAAATTATCGCCACGCCACGCAGTTTTGAGCGAATTAAAATTCCGAACGGCATAATATTTCGCAGTACTTATCCGTAAATTTAATCCGTAAATTATCTTATATGGAAACGATTTCAAGCGTCGCGATGTCGCATGTCTCACTTGTTTGACAGATGCCATCTTATGTCTCACGACTCACGTCTCACGTCTTCTCTGTGGAGCTTGCGCCACAGCAATGAAAAAAAATTCAAGCCGAGACTTTTAAACCTAAGACCATGCAATAGTATCCACAGAGCTATATCGACTAAGCAATCGACCTACCAGCGTCCAGCCAGCCCCAAAATTATCGCTACGCCACGCAGTTTTGAGCGAATTAAAATTCTGAACGGCATAATATTTCGCAGTACTTATCCATAAACGGTTTTCACGGCCTCGGCGCCGAACAAAATAACGCGCTAATATATTCATCTCACTTTCCAGAGGAATTTTATTGTAATTGAACTGCAGAAACCACTCTATAAACTTTGGATAGTACCTAATTGAACGGCTAATTTGTAATTTAATTTAATTTCTAAGTAAAATAGTATATCCAAGAAAGGATGCACCATACGAACCAGTAATTTTGACAGCGGCATGACGCGCGGCGCGCCCCAAATTTAATTTCTACCTAATACTTAGGTAAATTCGAAAACCACGAATATGATGAGTGATGACATATACTTGGCTATCTCAGTCGACTGCCAGACGCAGGCCACTCCTACGATACGTTTTCCCGTTGCTATCGCCATCCAGTCACTACCAGCCTCCTTCTAAAAGGCACCGGTCCATCTGGCCGTTGGGCTTCTAAAATGCAGAGCTAGCCGAGGCGTAGTCTGAACTTTGGAAAATACATACATACGTACGTATATCACGCCAATATCCCTTTCGGGGTAGGCAGAGCATAAACGGCTATAAAAACGGCCATTTCTTGTAGACCACGTCTGACTAAATTTCGAGACTCATTCAGAAGACCGTGTATTACCATAGTGACAGGTTGTCAGCTTGTCGCCCAAAATTTCAATTTGCAACTTGGGAACCTCTGAGTGAAATAAAGTATTCAACCAAAAAGAAACACTTAGTCTACAGTTTCAGTGGAATGCAAATCTTGCCCTCGACAAGAGAAGTCCATATTCCCAGCAGATTGATGCAGGACGTGACCAGTGTTGCCAGCATTTTAATGGTGAACTTGTAGCACGATTGGCTATTAAAAGCACTACTTAGGTACCTGCTTGCCAGAACAGTCTGTTTATGGCTAAAATTGTTTGAAATATGCGACGACCGGTGTAAAGCAGTGCATGCGTCAGCCTGCTACGAATAAATAAATAAATAAATATCCCTGGACGAGACACACAGCGCCATCTAGCCCCAAACTAAGCAAAGCTTGTACTATGGGAACTAGACAACTGATATAATACTGATATACCTTTTTTTTGTAAATATATATGTCGCAGGAATGTAGCGAAATCCGGTAATTCGCGAAATCCCTAGGCCCTTCGCGAAGAGCCGGATAATAGCGAAATGCATCGATTTATACGCACATTTCCCGGAAATCTGCGAATTCGTTATTTGCATGGACATAAATCCAGGAAAACTGCGTATAAGGCGACACGCGGCTACGAAGTCGCCTACGCACCTGCTACGAAAGGTTCCATATGCTGATCAGGTGGTTCAGCCTGCAATTGCCTACTCGTTCATGACCATGACCATGCCTAGACTATGACCATGACCATGACCATGACTAGACCATGACCATGACCATTACCATGACCATTACCATGACCATGACCATGACCATGACCATGACCATGACCATGACCATGACCATGACCATGACCATGACCATGACCATTACCATGACCATTACCATGACCATTACCATGACCATTACCATGACCATTACCATGACCATTACCATGACCATTACCATGACCATTACCATGACCATTACCATGACCATTACCATGACCATTACCATGACAATTACCATGACCATTACCATGACCATTACCATGACCATTACCATGACCATTACCATGACCATTACCATGACCATTACCATGAACATTACCATGTAATTACCATGTAATTACCGTGTAATTACCATATAACTACAATGTAATTACCATGTAATTACCGTGTAATTACCGTGTAATTACCATGTAATTACCGTGTAATTATCATGTACCATGTACATTACCATGACCATTACCATGACCATTACCATTACCATGACCATTACCATGTAATTACCGTGTAATTACCATATAACTACAATGTAATTACCATGTAATTACCGTGTAATTACCGTGTAATTACCATATAACTACAATGTAATTACCATGTAATTACCGTGTAATTACCGTGTAATTACCGTGTAATTACCTAGTATTTACCATGTAATTACCGTGTTATTACCATGTAATTACCGTGTAATTACCATGTACCATGTACATTACCATGACCATTAATTACCATGTAATTACCATGTAATGGTCATGGTAATGGTCATGGTAATGGTCATGGTAATGGTCATGGTAATGGTCATGGTAATGGTCATGGTAATGGTCATGGTAATGGTCATGGTAATGGTCATGGTAATGGTCATGGTAATGGTCATGGTAATGGTCATGGTAATGGTCATGGTAATGGTCATGGTAATGGTCATGGTAATGGTCATGGTAATGGTCATGGTAATGGTCATGGCAATGGTCATGGTTATGGTCATGGCAATGGTCATGGCAATGGTCATGGCAATGGTCATGGCAATGGTCATGGCAATGGTCATGGCAATGGTCATGGCAATGGTCATGGTAATGGTCATGGTAATGGTCATGGTAATGGTCATGGTCATGGTCATGGTCTAGTCATGGTCATAGTCTAGGCATGGTCATGGTCATGAATGAGTAGGCAATTGCTGGCTGAACCACCTGATCAGCATATGGAACCTTTCGTAGCAGGTGCGTAGGCGGCTTCGTAGCCGCGTGTCGCCTTATACGCAGTTTTCCTGGATTTATGTCCATGCAAATAACGAATTCGCAGTTTTCCGGGAAATGTGCGTATAAATCGATGCATTTCGCTATTATCCGGCTCTTCGCGAAGGGCCTAGGGATTTCGCGAATTACCGGATTTCGCTACATTCCTGCGACATATACATATTATACATAGAAAACACCCAGACTAAACACAAATATTTGAAAATTGATTTTCTAAATATTTGTGTCGGTGGGAATCGAACCCACGACCCTTGGCGTAGAAGGCAGGGGTCACTATCCACTACGCCAACGGGACAGTCAATTGGCCCCGGCCTGGGCAATCCGCTACTTGACTGCCCTGTTAAGTGAGCTACTTTTTAAGCCTGTTGAAAGAAACGGCATTTTGTATGAAAACATATAAATATGACGACATATTTCAATAACCAAAAATTCGGACCTTCTTTGTGCTTCCCCTACGGCGCCCAACCTCGGAAGTATGTTTATTGTCTCCCTCCCTAACAGCCCAAAGGCCCAAACAAGTTCCGTCGTAAAATTTGTTGTTCAGGATTTTCTTACTAGAACCCCTTATAAGCATTCATTGACCACTTACAAGCAGTCATCTACCGAAATAATAATCAGGGCAGATTGAGCAAAGAATTTGAATTGATATGGTAATTTTTGTGCATGTACCAACGATACAGGGAATCCTTGGAGGCTTTGAGTGTTCATTCGTCTCGTTTTCGTGGATCAATCGGTCATCAAACCATCATAATGAGTGGCAACATTATCTTCTTCTTTTCGTGTGAGCACAAAGTAAGTATTGGCTAGCGCAATCCAGAGAGTCGGCTTCGAGCAAACGCGGCTAAACTCACTCAGACATCCACACGCGTCTTTTACGCGCTCTGTGGAACCGTGTCGAACCGGCTTTGGTTGAGTGTGAACGGCGCGTTCGGTGCGGGCGGACGGAATGGCGAGTAAATAAAAATATTTTTGTGATGTGTTTGGGTGTAATAACACCACAGAAAAGTGCTTTGTCATTTTCAGTTTCCCACGCAATAATGAAAAGTAAGTAGAACTCTTTTATTTGATAAATAAATACATACCTACTTCAAAACACTAGAAATGGAGGAATTTCTTTTTAAAAATCTTATTTTTCGTTCGTAATATGTACTTTAGCGTTTTAGGTACGTACCTACGTAGAAGTAGGTAGGTTGCGTTTTAGTTTGATTTGGTAGGTTAAATGGGTTTAGGTAGGTACCTACCCACAGTAGATAGATACCTACCTAGTCAGCATTTGAGGTGAAGCGATGAGTACCGAAACACCGATAGCAAAAGGTCCAGGTTATGACATCTTCATTTTCGATCATCAGGTAGGTACCTAGTACCTACCTATGGTAGTCCAAATGGACTATTACGATCCTGGATATTTTTTTCATTATTTCGTCACGGCAGCTGGTGACCTTCGAAACTATAGTAGGTAAGTAGGTACTTATACTTCGAAACTAGGGTAGGTACCTACCAACTTATACCGACAAATACAGCTTCAGATTTTTTACCGGGCGCGTCCCCGCGTATATTTCATGTCGTCATGTTCATGTCATGATAGGTACCTACCAACCAACCTACCTACCTACCGTTCCCAGCGCGTATCGCCCGCCTGCCAATACATTGGTAGGTAGGTAATCTGTGTGCGACTGACTACTGACGGTACGTTTGACTTTCTTGATGGCTTGACTCCCTGTTCAAAAATACCTACCTTTCAACCATAGGTACCTTACCTTTTTAAGTTTGTGATGGCAAGATAGGTATTTTTTTTTTGGCCTTTTTTTTTAGATAGATACACTTGTTTCCCGTGGAAAACACCGACGAACGACGTGAGGAACCCTTTGTCGTGTCGGCTTGGACAAACGTGTCGGTCATCGCCGCCGGCCGGTCCTCTAAATACCTACTACCTACCTACCTCCGCTATGCTCACCACCTAGTCTCGTGACCCAAACCCATTGCCT